AGAGCAGTGTTGTAGTTTCTTACAGAACAGAGTTGTAGTTTCTAACAGAGCAGAGCTGTTGTTTTATATAGAGCAGAGCTGTAGTTTCTTACAGAACAGAGCTGTAATTCCTTACAGAGCAGAGGTGTAGTTTATTACAGAGCAGAGTTGTAGTTTATTACAGAGCAGAGTTGTAGTTTCTTAAAGAGCAGAGTTCTAATTTCTTACAGAGCAGAGCTGTAGTTTCTTACAGAGCAGAGTTGTAATTTCTTACAGAACAGAGTTGTAGTTTCTTACAAAGCAGAGCTGTAGTTTCTTACAGAGCAGTGTTGCAGTTTCTTACAGAACAGAGTCGTAGTTTCTTACAGAGCAGAGCTGTTGCTTTATATAGAGCAGAGTTGTAGTTTCTTACAGAGCAGAGTTGTAGTTTCTTACAGAACAGAGTTGTAGTTTCTAACAGAGCAGAGCTGTTGTTTTATATAGAGCAGAGCTGTAGTTTCTTACAGAACAGAGCTGTAATTCCTTACAGAGCAGAGTTGTAGTTTATTACAGAGCAGAGTTGTAGTTTATTACAGAGCAGAGTTCTAATTTCTTACAGAGCAGAGCTGTAGTTTCTTACAGAGCAGAGTTGTAGTTTCTTACAGAACAGAGTTGTAGTTTCTTACAGAACAGAGCTGTAGTTTCTTACATAGCAGAGCTGTTGTTTTATATAGAGCAGAGTTGTAGTTTCTTACAAAGCAGAGCTGTAGTTTCTTACAGAACAGAGTCGTAGTTTCTTACAGAGCAGAGCGGTTGCTTTATATAGAGCAGAGCTGTAGTTTCTTACAGAGCAGAGTTGTAGTTTCTTACAAAGCAGAGCTGTAGTTTCTTACAAAGCAGAGTTCTAGTTTCTTACAGAGCAGAGGTGTAGTTTCTTACAAAGCAGAGCTGTAGTTTCTTACAAAGCAGAGTTATAGTTTCTTACAGAGCAGAGTTGTAGTTTCTTGAAGAGCAGAGTTGTAATTTATTACAAAGCAGCATTGTAGTTTCTTACAGAGCAGAGTTGTAGTTTCTTACAGAGCAGAACTGTAGTTTCTTACA